TTCCCTACAAATACTCTCGTGGCAATAAATCAGTTTGGTGAATTGAACAAAAATGTAACATATAGTGTACAGTTTGTACTATCTGGTTCCATAGTGTAGCAGTTATCATGTTTGCTTTATACGCAGAAGGCCCTGGGTTCGAGCCCCAGTGGAACCATAGAATTTTTGGGGGAGGCGACAGTGCGGTGGGTAGAGCAGTCGTCTCCCAACCTGAAGGTTCAAATCTCGGTACCTGCAGGCCACATGTCAAAGTGTCCTTGGGCAAGACAGTGAACCCTCCTGTTGCCCCTGATGGTTAGAGCCATTGGTTGAGTTGGCGCTGCTTATGGGTCTGTACTGGAAACAAATTCCTTGTGTGTAACATACTTGGCCAATAAAGGTGATTATCCTTAATTATTATATATATAAAAAAAAATAATTATCTGTGATTGGTCTGACTTGATGTGATAAAGAAAAGCTGATGGCTGAGCCTTCTGCCTGATGCAGTTAATCTTCCTGATTTTATTCTGTGTCTGTGTTTGTGTCTTTGGGCCACCAGGTCTCACCACTCTGGTTTTCATTTAAGGCAGAAAAAAGTCTCAAAACAGACCATGATGCAATGACATAAAACATGTAAACAAGACCCCAGACTCAAGGTGTGTCAACACCACAGAGAACATTAGATCCTCAGCAAAATGTGCATGAAAATAGAGACATTTCATCTTCTATCCCACTGTCATAGCTGATTACAAAACATGTTCCCACACATCAGTGATTTACTCAAGCTTCTTTCTTGAAATCATTCTTAATATGATATTTGCTTCCTTGTGTTACATTTCACTGTCCAAACAGTACCATTTCAAACTGTAGCACTTCTTAAATAAAAATACTTCATAAGTTACAGAACACTGAATATGAATGAAACTAATTTACACTATACTCAGTGAACCAAGACTGATTTGTACTGCCATGGTGATTTTGAATACAAGCACTAGGCTATGGGTCTCATAAAAGCAACTGAAAGAAAGCAAACCTACTGATCAACATGTACAACCCCCCTGTCAGTGATAGTAGGCTGTGAGCAGCCATGAAAAATAGATGCAGCACTCAGATGGTGGAAGCCCATTTTAGCTCATCCACCAAGTGGATGTGAACTAGACATACAGCATGAAGCAAGAATGACGGTAGACTGTGAAGCTCATGAGCACAACGAACTAACATTATACTGTTTAAACTGCATTAGGCAACAGAAATAATGTCAGACCAGGAAAGCACTTGGCATTTTTTTTTATCACATACAGAAGAACTACTTTATGTTAAATACAGACAGTGAGAATGATGGAGTGAAACATTATCTTACTTACAGCTCAATTTGCTCACCATTCCTTTCATGCATAACAAATGTGGAACAAGAGAACACGTAGGACTGGCATCTATCTGGGAGATCAGGTCTTCTTAATATTAATCAATGTTTTGATTATATAAATAGACTGTCTGTCGCACACAAAAGCAGAGTAAGGGGACGGTGCCAGGCTACCTGAAGCCAGTTTCCCCTTAGTTGTAAGATTTAGTTTTTTGAGGCCAATTTCCTCTGAAGATTAAATTACATTCAGTGCCATATGTATCTCAATCAGTGTACAGCTAAATCTCCTCATAGTGGCCATCTTGTTTTATACAATACATGATTTAGGTGACATATCAACCTGTATATGACAAACATATCAGTAGCACCATGACACCCTGCATAGACTGATCCCAAATGTGAAGGCTTGTTGCGATCTGGATATTACACAAACACGTCAGAGGACAGCGAGCTTCTTTGCTTTGTAAAAATAGCTAAGAAAAAACTACTGTGGACATTTTTGTTGGAAATGAATTATTAGTTAATTTCACTTAAAACTTAAAAACAGCTCTAACTATCAAATACTATAATGCTGTCCAATGTGTAAAGAAGGGGAATGTAGATTTAATTCTGGTTTTATCTCCATTCCTTGGGTAAGTCTGGAGTCCACAAAGTCAGTCGGTTTGAAAGCAGTCCCTCTGCACTTGTTAGTAAGACATTGCACGGCTGAGTTTCAGTTCTCTGCTTGGTAGTAAGGTCCATACAAACTACAAAAGCAGGCAATAGAATTAACAGATGAACTGTGCAAACGTGTGGGCTGTCCACTGTCTCAACCAACTGCACAGCTTGAGTACACGTTACTGTGGAAAACATGTCAGCTGTGTAAACAAGCGTAATTCATGTGGTGATAGAATGACCATATTCTTTACTATTCGACAAGATATCGGTCTCTCCTCAAAATAGCTTTCCTCTAAATCGATGAGCATTTAGAGTCCATACCACACCAGACTGACAAAGATGCTTACTTTAAGCAGCCTCTGAACCAGATTCCCCCAGGACACTGACTGTCAGTGAACTGACTTGAATTTCTTAACAAAAGCTTGCTCTTAACACTAATGACATGAAAGTCTTTTCTCCCGGTGGGCTGAGAGATATAGCAATGCAGATGATATTTAGTTTTCTCCCCCATTTCTTTACCTATGCTTCACTTGTTTATGACTAACAGAAACCTATGCAACATAAACTGCTACTGTCAGTGAGCAGGGGAAAGCCCCATTGATGGAGGAAAAGCACTGCAGTATTTAGACTGTTTCCAGAGACATGCAGTAATATGCATTTCTCAATCCCATGCAACCTGTGGAATATATATTTTTAAAATGGTAAAATGGAACGTTACAGGATAATAATATAAATATTAGTTGTTAGTTTACTAAAATTTGATACAGGCAGTTAAATATTTCTATTGTTTCAATATTTATAACAAAGCAAAAATATTACAGAAAAACATTTATAACAACACACGCAGAAGGGAGGACAGTAAAAATCCTCCATCTTGATTTATTGTCATTACTGCTGATAATCAGTCCTGAAGTATTAGCTGCCTCTGTGTTTTATCCTAACACTGGCAAGCTGTACCTTCAGACTACAGTAGCAGTGCACATTCACATCTGTAAGGTGCTTTATACAGATGCTGTTTCAGTAGTTCTCTTAGCCTGACCTATCAGCTACATTCAAAGGAATCATGAGAAGAAAATCAACATTAAAGACCAAGCAAATAAGCAATCCATTGCCTATAAATGACTGATAATGAAATATATGACAGAGTAGAGCTACATATTGTCTTACCACTCTTGTTGGGGTTCATCGATGACTAAAAGAATCTTGAACTTCTTAGGGGTCGTGACTTGCGTCTGCTCCACTAGCCCTGCTGAGGCAGCTGTCTGCTTAACAACATTGCTGATGGAGGTGAAGAAACCTACACCAGTGGACTGAGCTGTCTGGGGTTTCCTCTCTGGAGCTTGGGAAGTAGCTGGATGTGTAGGCCCTGCTGTAGGAGACTTGGCAGGGGCGGTGGAAGCAGGTGGAGGAGGCTGAGCAAGATCAGGCCGTTGGAGGTCTGTCATATAGCCATTGGGCAGATTGGAAATGAATGTGCTGTCCGACAGACGTCGACGCAAATAATTCATGGCTGCAGCTGAGAGAGAAGAGTCAACCAGCACTGGGTGTGGAAGATAATTCTGCAGAGAAGTCCCTGTTCTCAGTGTACAGCTGATAATGGCTGAGCTCTCAATGCAAACTCCCAGCGAATGTATTCCCTCCCAGAGCTCAGTGGAGCATCCTCAGAGCTCCCCCTCACTGGCAGTGACGAAACACTGCCCCTCAGCCAATCCCCTTACTCTGTGCCTTCCTCAGTTATTGCAAACGATGCTCCACTGTGCCTCTCTTTCCTCCTCTCTTCCTCTCCTCTTTCACTAGCTGGCATGCCTGCCTTCCCTCCCCCTCCCCCATTTTCTACTGCCTCACAGGCGTCATGCTTTTTTTGAACCACAGCATGTAAATTAGAGGGGTTTCCAGTGTATGTGCAAGAGGGTATACTGTGTACAACATCATAACTGTCTTACTCCTGCTCCTTCTGTCCCTCATGTTTCTCAGCCATGTGTCCATGCACAGCATTTCTCTGTGTTTAAAATGCAGCCATGAAATCTAAAATGGCTGTTAAGACTAGTGGGCAATGTTCAATGGGAGGAAGGACGTCAACAGTACGTCCCTTGAGACACAAAAGCATGCAGTAAATCCTCTCTCTTAACTGATCCACTGATCCATATATAGCTACCGATATTACTTATCAAAATTAGACATGCTTTGCCTTGCTGTTTTATTAGACTTTATTTGACAGCACTTGTCCACAATGAATGGATAGTTTATTATTATGTGCAATAACATTTTTATTGGTATATACATATTCATTCTGTACACATGCAAATTAAATTGTAGCAAAAAATTTATACAATATCTAGTAATTACAGTACTTAATTGTGATGCTCAGAGATCATCACAAATCTAATGAAGAGGTTATACAGTTTGAATCTGATATACATAAACATAAGACCTCAAGTCAAAATAATTTAAAGATTTATAAAATCTTTATATTGCAGCATGAATATTTCTGCCAAACAACTATACAGCTAATATTACCAGCTGACATCATGCAGATGAAATCTGCCCAAGCTCTCTGTGCTCTTTGTAATCAGGTATAAACAGGTGTCTCTCCAGTATCACAGTTACATTAGATAGTGACTGAAAACATAGTACATACACTGCATAACATTTGAAGAAAGAATAAATATAGTAGGATATTTTAAGTATATGATCAATGAAGTTGTGATTTCATAAATATAATTTGAATATATGCTGAAATGTGTACAAAAATTTGTTTGATCCTTCCAAAGTGGAGCAGCTAGGGTCCAACTGAATGCCTTGCCAATTTATCTAAATTAGCTTTGCATTTTTAAGTCTCCTATTCAGTGTTCTGTATATGCATTTGTGTAAAATTTGAAGACAAACGCGTTTGCCTATTTGTAGTAAATGGAACAGAAGAGAGAACTGGTAGGCTAATACATGACTCAGTAATAATATTTTGCCATAGCAGCGTTTCACAGAAATAGGAACTGTTTGGTTGAATTCATAACAATGACTACTCTAGCTCTAATTACAGCCTGTATGTTTGCACTGTATTTAATTATTGTTATTGTGATTCTCTATATTGTAATTTTATTGTCACTTGGTCTGTCTACTCTCTTTAATACAACATGTTATATATAAAGAGTAGACAGACCACACCTGTGGTCTTGTTTCCTATTAAAGGGTGTGGCCTTTTTTCTGCAATTGAACTGAGGATTTAATAACAAAATGTCCCGTGAGGCATATTTATTTTAGGATATATAAAGAGAGGCTAGGCATGGTGTGTATTGTACACGTTATAATGTACAGTTCAGTATGCAGAACAATATAGAGTAATAATTGGGTGCAACCCTTCTTGATTGAATCCAAGGATACTGGACCTCGGTGTTTTTATTTTTGAATACTGGTCATGAGAAAGACTGACAAGGTTTTATCACCAGGTCTTTTATGGGCTTAACAGAAGATGTAGAATGAGCGGATACTAGGGTGACACCAGCTGGTGGTAATGGTGTAGTGAACAACAAAACATCGCATAGCATTAGCCTATAAATGGCCAATAAATAGATTAAACATCTGTGTCATTTACATCTGCTCAGACAATGGTTTGTATTTATAATTCATCACGTCATTGTGAAGTCAAAAACATGATTTATCTGGCGGATAGAGAGTTAGTGTTACCGTTTCTTTAATTAGTATTTAACAGTATCCTGTTTTGTGTTTAGCTAACAAATTTTTCAGCATCTACAGTATAATGTAGCCCAGTAAAATTGACTGTAAATGTGATTGGTTTTGTAAATAATACCACAGTGGTTAATAGCAAACCACGTGAGTGCATTTATATTGCTGAAGGTCATCACGTGACTTTTTGTGTAGAGCTGATCCCCATACACGGCAACTTCTCCCTTGTTTGCTTCGTCTCCACTAGGGTCGCTCATACTCCTTTTGTTTGACGACTGGTGGGAAAGTGAGTGAAGGCAGCGTAAAGGCAAGTTGAGCTAGCCATGGTGTTGGTGTGGCTGTAAGCTAAAGCTACTTTTGTCGATCAAGTGAGTAACTGACTGTTAACTTTAATCTACTTTGGTGTGTTGTTGTTGGATATAAAACTGTAACTAAACTGTCACTGACGTGTTGGTTAGTTCAACGTGAATTTGGTTTTGCTGGTTGAATAGCTAACTCATGACTAACGTTATCTAACTTTACAAAGTTGGTGACAAGCTGCTAGTGGCTAACGTTAGCTAAACGGAGCTAACATTAGGTTAGCAAGTGTGCTAGCTCTGAAAATAAGTGAACAGTTAGCTAAGGTAACTACTGTAACAATAGGCGTAAAACTGTTTATCGTAATAACCTTTAGAACGATAATGGCGATTATAGCTCTCTTATCCAGCTAACGCATGCATTGTTAGGAATAAACGCTTGTTAGCTGGTTAATGCTAATGTAGCTCTTAGCTAGCCTTTGAGTCATTAACGTCAGCGTCAGGATTCGTTAGCCAGTCCGCCGCTAACGTCAAGAGTCCACCAAAAAATCTCCAATAGCAAGTTTAAGCTATATTATTACAATTACGTATATATCACATTTCAGTTTGCTATCAGCTTTTTTTTTTATTTCACTTTACAGGATCGAAGATTGTTTCTTTTTTCACTGGTATGTGTTGCTAACATCGATGTTAGCAATTAGCCTGTTCTTGTAAATGCTATTCACTAGAATGGACCTGTTGAACTCTCAGTTCCTGGACAAGATGAACAATAACATCGGGAGACTGCACTACGACGGTTAGTTTTCCTTTGTTTGTTGTAACTTAACTAATGTATCTATGTACTGTATATTTAACGCCTTTGTGGAATTAACGCAATGCGATTAAGTTGTCAACAAATCCACTGTTTTGGTTGGCTACTGACCCCATGGCTATGGTCAAGGTTAATTTTGAAGCAGAATAGGTTATTGATAAGGTTTACCTCATCTTGTTGACTGGGGATAACTTTAGGGTGGGGGCATATATCTTGGGCGCACTGTCACCTCACAGCCTGAAGGTTTTGGGTGCCTGGGCCTAACTCCCAATGTAACCGTGAATGGTTGTCTGTCTTTACATGTCAGCTCAGTGATTGACTGGTAACTTTTTCAGTTTGCACCCATTCAGTGTGTAGTGCAAGTCTGGCCAGGTTACATTATTCAGGCATCTTAGGGAAACTGTTTATGAAGCACTGCAATGTACCAGCGAGTTTGGCTTTTAGGGCACACACAGCTAATATAAAAATGTCTTGTTTATGTCATGACACAACTAAATAAAGATGTGTTAGGCCATATTAGCAATTGTTCAATATGGAAGTATAGTATTTGCACTTCTGGTTCCTTTCAGATGATTCCAGGACGTCCTCCCTGCCCAGTGCTATGTCCAGCATTACTGGACCTCTTCCACACTGTCCAAGCAAACGGAAATATGGTGAAGAACAAATGGATGACCGACCCAACTGTGATGATGACCACATGACGAAAATGAGCAGATTGTTTGCCACTCAACTGTAAGTGTCTTTCTGAAATTTAAAGCTTTGTCATCCTGTGTGAGCCTTGACATTGTCAATACACTGGCTCTTAGAATTTCACTGGTCAGACAAATTGTAAAGTGTTTTGTCCTAAATGTATTCATCTTTGTTCTTTGTGGCAAGTGATATTAAATACATAATGACCAGATTTACCATACCAAAAAAAAGCCAAGCTTTTATGAAGCTGAAACTGTCTTACAGTTGTTTTCTGTAGTGCATTATACAAGTTATTTTTATTTTGTATTTAATGTGCTCACCTAAATAAGGGACTGTTTTTCACAGAGCAGATTAATGAATGCTGTAGCATAATGTCAAAGGAACATTAGAACTCACATTCATGCATTTATATTTTGATGCATATTGGAATGTTGAATACAGTATCAGACTTAATGATTGCTTACCCTTACCAACTAATGACATTTATATAAAAGATAATTATACAAATATAGTTTGTCTTTTGTTATTGAAAACCTATGTAATTGTGTTTAATTTTCACAAACCTGAACATATTCACTAGCATTGCGATTTTTCTAACAACAATTAAGTTCCACTAAACATTTTTACTGTGTATATTACACATGCAGAATAGTTTTTTGTTCTGTGCTCCACTCCTGAATGGAGAGTGTCTAAATGTTGGTCCCTTTAGCCTGTTGTGACATTTGTCATGTCTGACCCTTTGCAGTCAGAGGTGGGGCCGACTGGGTCAGTTGGACTCTGCTATAGTACGCATAGTGTGATTGCTAACTGTGGGACAGGAATACCAACACTGTGATATGTGAAACAGCTTCTCTTGAGTTGCATTGTGGTGACATGAGTGTCCTCTGACCCGGATAGTTTCAAGCACAGTGTGAGTGCAGGCCAGTAGGATGTGGGGAGGGGTGGCAATCATGCTTCGGCACAATATGAGGGAACCGTGCCTAGTGCGAGTATGCCCTAAGTCTGAACATGACCATACAGCATTTCCTCTAATAGAATCCACACACCACCTCCATACTGTGAAATGTATTTTTAAAGATTATATAAATTATCAATGCAACAAAGTCTGTGAATGGGGAGTCTTCTATGTAATCCTTGTCATTCTAAGAGATGACAAAAAGGCTGCACACAGTAAAAGACTACAGCCAGTCTGTGCTTTGAGACGTGACAGGTGATACTGTATTTCATTGTCGATGAAAAGGTGAAGCAGTCAGTGGTATATGTTTAATTTGTACTCCCCTTATCAAGGGCTCGTCCCTCTGCTGGAGACATCCCTAATGAGCACTGGAGTCACAGCCCTGTGGAGCACATCACTTCCTTCACTAATGGTCTCCATGGGAACCACCTGTACACTTCCATTTCCGGCTATCCTCTAGACCAACCTCTGCCTCTTACCAAAAGCAGCCACATCGTTGGAGACGGGGGCAGAGAGAGGTCTGTCATGGGTGGGCCTGTAGAACGGCAGCAGGTATGTGAACTTAGGGAGGATTCAGCAGATTTTCATAGTGATAAGAATCCAAGTATTTGAGTAGGGCAGCATGATTATGGCAAAAATCCTAATCACCATTATTTTTGTCAGTACTGAGATCACGATTATTTAACAATATTACTCATTGACATTGATCACATCATGCATTTTTGAACTTAAAGTCTCTAGTGAGATTTCTTGAGCTGTAAACATAATTCGACTGAAAAACAAATCACTTAATTGTGATTGACAGTTTAGAGGAAATTACATGAGAACAGTTTGCAACTCGCCATAGCTACAGTACTTCAGATATAATGGCGCATTTATACGTGAATGAAATCCACACGGGTATGCCAGTGGGCAGTATGTTGTAGTTTTGTTTTTTTGTGTTTTTATGTATTTGTTGGGTGATTATTTGTATTTTTTTTTCTGTCTATAGAATCGCCCCTCAGTTATTACCTGTGCTCCAGCAAACAACCGCAATTGTAACCTCTCCCACTGCCACATGAATGGTTGCTCTCCCAGCCCACCTGCTGATCAGAGGAAGACCAATGGTAAGCCTTTTATTGCAATATATAATGTACACTCCAAAAGCTTATATAATATTGGCCTTTTTCTGTGGTATTGTCATGTTAATGTAAAAAGAATGAAATGGCATTAAAGAGCCTTTTATCACATCAATGCACAGCTGCTACTTATTTTATGAACTTGAAAAAGTTATTGTAACATGCAAAGGTTTGTTCACTAAGTCAGTATTTTTTAGAGGGTTGTGTTATTTACTATTATAATGGGCTTAGTAAGTATTATAACTATTTCTTTTTTCTATTTTCTACATTCATAAAATGAAACGTACTTGGGTCCAAGCAACCATAGTAGCCATCTTTTTCATGCCCCTCACCCTCAACATTCAAAATTAATGTTGCAAACCCTCACCACAGTGTGACTTGTATTTCAGCGGATGGTGCAACTGTAGCTGTTTTCATTTTCCATTATAACATGCTTGGTAATGACCAGGCTTTTGGTCTTCTTCCTCCACACATAATATTATTTTAGCCAACACCGTGTGTGATCCTGTGATTGAGGAGCACTTCCGTCGCAGCCTTGGAAAAAACTACAAAGAAGCAGAGCCTGTTTCCGACTCGGTGTCTGTCACAGGTTCAGTGGATGACCACTTTGCCAAGGCTCTGGGAGAGGCCTGGCTCCAACTCAAGGCCAAGGGTGGAGGTCATCAGACCCCAGAGGCAGATCTGTGACGCAGAGGGGAGTAAACATTGCAGTCACTTCCTTAGTGTTTGTATATGAGAGTGGAGATTGCCCGCTGTCATTTCTTGCCATGCATCAACTTCCTTTAGCCAAGAACATGTAAGACAAACAGTATGGTGCTCACCTTAGCTGTTCCCTTGAGGACATTGAGGTCAGCTGTTTATTGGAACACTCACCTCAGATTTTTGCTCTTAAAATTGGAAAGTCTTTCATTTAAAGAACAGAAAATAAATACTGTGTAGTTGAACTGACAATGTTGGAAACTGTACAATCATAGATTTTATTTTGCGTTGGTGATGGGAGTCACAGAGTGGTCGGTTTTAGGAGCTCATGTTCTGTTTTACTTGCCTTGATAACCAAAGAGATTTCCTACATTTTCCATTGACATATAAACCATACATCTGGTCTTTATTTTCATACTAAAATCACCAGCTTTTGAATATATTACTTGAAAAGGACAGCCTGGTCTCATTTGCACTATTACATTTCTGACTGTTGAGGTAGCAGGTTACCTGTTCAGTTGGAACTAATGTGTTCAAGAATGCATCTTGTATTTTGAAATTGTGATAATGCAATTAAGGCTCTGGCTCCACTGCTCTCTAAAGACACTAGACTTATCTGCCATCTTAATGATCCTGAACTGGATTTATCCACTGATAACTAAGTAATTGTAATTTCTTGTCTTTATGCTCACTGTGGCTGATTACTTAGTGAACTAATATCAATCATAGTAGAGGTCTCTAACTAGAAAGCATGTTTCAAATAGCTGGTTTCTATTACAAACCTTATTCTATGCTATATATTTACTCAGAATTTATTTTTTATCTAACATTTTAGAAATACTCACTGCTGGCACAGTTGTACTCAATATATTTTTTTGTATCTGGTTTTCATTACTATATGTAGGTGTATGTCTTAGTAACCATCTACAATCACAGCCTCTGGCTAGGTTGTCTGAATGCAGTTTAATAGGCTACATTGGTTTGTTATTCTGTGGAGCTGGATGCTGGAGCTTTATAGGACTACAGCTAAATCTGATATTTTGTAGTGCAGTTGCTTTATTTATTCTCTGTTTGCTGGTAGTTTCATCTTGACTTTTAGAAAAACATAGTTGACTAGAGAATTCTAGCTTAGTTTCTTTCTAATAAAAAGCAGAGGATGTCTCCGTATCTTCAATGACAAAGCAGTTGATTTTCCTTAAAACTAAGATTTGAATTCACATGCGATATAGGTGTCCTTGGTTGAGCAAGCATTCCACCATAACTGCCTGTCACTTCAGTTTTTTTTTTTTTTAGCAAATACTGTTACAAGTAACGGTCTTTTTAATTCAGATGATATCATGACTGCAAAAATAGGCCTTAGCATGGATTAGGTGAGTCACCAGGTTTTCTTGTATGCAGGTGTTTTTAAATTGACTTATGACTTCTCAACTTGCTGAAATTCTTTATAGCACTGTAGCCTTTTGTGTCAACATTGATTAAGATACGGTTTTGTAAATTCAGATCTTTTTTGTATTAACTGTTTGTGAAAACACATTTGTATTAATATTCTAGTTTTTAAAGTGTTGCATACACTTTCCTGTCTATTTTAATTTTACTCACATAAGACTATCATTGCGCCGCGCGGAATGATCATAGATGTTTGGTTTGTATTCACATGTAGCCTGAATGTTCAGTCTTCTAACCACGTTTTCTTTCTTATGGATGGTTATTTCCCCACAGTTGTCAGATGATTTAAAGGTGCAGGAGCACATCAGTCTTTCAGTCAAAGACTTTCTTGGTCCAGTACCAGAAAGACTTCTGTATTAACAGTTCAAAAAGTTTTAGCTCTCTCTTTGTGTTGGGATTTAGAGAATATCTGTCATAGAGAATATCTGTCATGGGATCTGCTTGTTTGACACAAGTGGGTTGTTGGTAATATGTTTGGGGTAGTAGGTCATTGTTATTTAAATGCTATATTTAGACTACCTATATCTCAAAGATTGTTAGCAGAAAGTCCTGCTCCAGGTTTTACCCACAGAAAAAAGAAGTTTGTTCACTTTCTTCTGGAAGAAAATGCCACTTAAGTTTGTACTTAAGTTCTTCCAAATAAACACACAAATGCCTACCTTTGAATATTGCTTGTCATTGTCCTTACAGTAAAGGGGGGGTATAACTTCTATTTATTTCATGTTGCCCTGCAGATTGCACCAATTTGAATTTTTTTCAAATGTATCTTTTCATTGCCTAATTTATGACAGTCTTTTATGTGTGTGTGTGTGTGTGTGTGTGTATGTGTGTGTGATTTAAGAATGACACTGATTAGCACTGTATTGTTTCCTTCAGATCAGGTGAAAGCACCTTGTGATTTTATTACATGTATCAGGTGAATAAAATGTTTGGAGCATCCTTTGAGGGGAAAAAAAGTCTCATCTGAATTGACAGACTGTTGCGTATCAAGAAATGGTTCCACTGTGTTGGTAAATCATAAAACACTACATACACGTCTTTATTAATGTGACCTATTTTTTTTTTGCAGAGGTTTGAGAAAGTAATGAGAAGGTGATTACATTTTATATAGCACTTTCTAACCAATAAATCAGGAGTCATTGCTCATCTCTATTCATTTGGCACTTTCTGCCCCCACTACAAAATGAAGTAATTTATCAATGAATTAATGTGGGACGGTGGTGGACAAATGTTCTGTTATTGTAAACCTACATGTTAAGAGCAGTTATACTGATTGTGTGAATACTTTCCTAAACCATTTATGTTTGAGTTGAGTCTGTTCCTGGAGCTCCCTTGTTATGCAGTCTTTGGGCTCTTTACCATTTGGTTAAGGTGTTTTTGTTCTTGCCTCGGACACATTTTTGCTTAAGGGAACATTAAAGGTAATGTCTCCCAGGAAGTGATTTCTCTGCCAGTTCCTCAGCTGTGTCCAGCATGCTGATGTAAAAGTGATACTCCACACACAGTCTAGTGTTTTAACATCCAGTACACACCCATGGTCTTCAAAGGATGCTGTAAAAGGTTTATAGTAAGGAGCTAGATGTTACTTTGCTGTGTGGATGGGATCTTCAGGGCCTACAACCTCCATCATAGTGTGCTGTAAGTCAAGACAGCACATGAAACTCAGTGATAGAAAATGTCTTTGTAGGAATTATTTTAATGTAAACTATTGGAACATCGGTGAATTGGCATAATGAGTCGCTCATTAGTATCTCCTTAGATCTTCTTTCCTTTTGGAGGTTCTCAAATGGAGTTTTCCAGTCAAACATAAAAGACCTTGTTGACAAGGTGGTTTCATAACAGCTGCACATTTAATGTCTTTCTATTTCTATAATGGCTGTGCGTGCTCTGGACAAGCAGCTGACGTCTTCCTCTAGACATCACCATTTTGGACTCGGTCATAGATGCTGTTTGGTTGATTTGGTGTCATGGTAACAATATAATTTCTGCTGGAAAAATCCCATTACTTTTAAAGTGAGAAAAGGGGAAACTGATTGGTGACTCGATGATGAAGATAACAGGACGGAGACTTCACCTAGAAGGCATCTTAGCCTCCACATCTTTGAATGGAAATGGTATAATGTTAGTGGTAGTTCTTGTGAGAGCAGATTGAAGTTGGATCAGAGATTAGCTGACCTCTTTCTCAACCAACAGATGGCAGTGTTAAATCACTCTGCGTCCCCCTCCCAAATTTTCCATCCCCCTGGAGATCAAACAAAGGAAAGCACGTCATCATCCTGGGAAGATTGATATGGATGCAGCATTTCTTCAGACTGTCTGTTAGTAATGTGAAAATGTACTTTGCATATGAAATGGGTCTATAGATGAGAAGACATTGCCTTTATACTGAGAGCAGAATGCATTGCAGATTATGGCTCCAGATCCCAGACTCCTGCTTTAAAGAATGTTTTAAAATTTGATTGTAGATATATTTATGTATTGCAAATGTTGTAGCAGATTAACATATCCATGGTTCAGTTTAAAGATATAGTAGCATTCGGTTTGGCTAGTTTGAATTTGCAGAGTAACATTCATAATGCAAATCTTTAAACTTTTTAGTTGCTGTTGCTCTTGAATGTCCATGCTGCTCAAGAGCCCCTCTGACAACCACTGCCTCCACAAGATTAGACCCTGTTTACCAGCCACTGTGCCCCCTGCTTCTGCTGCAAAAAGGTAGCCTGCTCTTGTAGGATTATGGAGAGGAGATTCACAATCTCTTTCTTGCACAAAACAGATCACAGATCCACACACAAATGCATGTGCACAAAGATATCAGGATGCATTGGTGGCCAGCATGAAACTTGTGTCTAAAACAAGATGACACATCAGGGTCACGCCAAATTCGACTTGGCCCCTTCAGTGTGTGAAGGCCGCAAGGATCATGACATCTGTGCTTGCTATGGAGGACTGGTTTTTATCGCTGCCTCCTGTTATAGCTGTACCACAATGGACTGTGCTGCTTTTAGACGTGGTCAAGACACATGTCGAGCACTGTTCTCTCCATTTTTCTCTCCTGGTTATGTAAAATGAATGAACCAATCAAAATGGCTTAATGCAGTGCACTCTGAACATGATATGGAGTTCTAATTAATCCAATTGGATACATGTTGCTACAGGCTACAAGAAAAGTGGCCCTTGCAGTCCCACATGTTGACTCACATATTGTTGACATGTTAGCCTGCACAGATGGGTGATAGAGATCTCATTCCTTCATTTGCATAATTCCAAATTTGTTGTGCCTGAATAGAATGCAATGCTCATACTGTATCTACAGTGTGCATGAGTGCACAGTGTCTGGGGAATTTGCATGATTGCCTGTAGATTATTTAACATTATCTATTCCCCCTCCTATTTCTTTTTTCTTGGTTCTGTGGCTCTCTCCTGTGAGGATGCACACACGTCCTTGGGCAAAAGAATCTAAAATAGATCATACAGGCAACTGGAGTAGATGCACAGGAAGCAGCTCACGGGCAGACTTGAGTCATGCTGGCTAGATCATGCACCCTGAACTGACAGTCCAACACACCGGATTACCAGGCACGTCATTTCAAAAATGCTCCCACAGCCCCAATAGAGGTCACAAACAAGGGTGGAAATATTGAGATCCATCAATCACTCAAATTATAATTAGATACATTATGACTGGCCTGATCAATGTGTGTGGCTCAAGCAGTTGTTGCTCCATTGTGTCACGTAGAATGCAATCACATAACCTTTGTGGAGCAAAGGGAAGACAACACAGTCACTCTGGATAACAATCTTGCACTGAATGGAAACAGACCCTGTCAGGCCATCTTAACATCAGTTTTCAGTTGCACACCACCACCAACATACTTTACCAATGGGCCTTAGCCTTTTCCTTACTAACTGCTTCCATCAGTTTAGGTAGTTCCTTCTTGACAAATCCCCTCACACAGACTTGGCAAGCCCCTTTTAGTATGTTCCTCTTTATGTCCCTCTATATTGCATGCTGTCTCAGCTCCATCTTTGACCTGTTTTGTTGGCCTGCTTTAGAGCTGTATGTTGTTGACACAGCCAGTGATTTCCTATGGAGCCTGGGAGGGAACATAGGAGAGAAAAAAAAAAGAAACGCAAGACTTTGTAAGATCTTTTTATACATGTGTAGGATCATGCAAAGTGTTTTTTTTTCACTCATCAATTTTCTTTCTTATGTGCATTATTGATTGGCTTGTAAATGACTGAATGTGTGGCCCTTTTTTTTTGTTTGTTTTTTCAAAATAATAAATTGCTTTTATGTAGGACTAATATTTCTGAAATGTCTTGTTAGATAGAGGCTGTATTTTTCCTACAACATCAGGACCCCATATTCCTCTCTTAACAACAAGCAGATTAATAAGATTGTGGGTTTTGGGCATTAAGCAGCAGACAAATGTTTGAACCATCACTAAGGGGCATTCTCATGCCTCATTATGAGGCTTGTTAGGGCCTACATTACTGCTGCTTGACTAAGCAGCCATAATAAGGAAAGTGACCCAACACCAATCAGAGCAACAATGTTTCTCCTCTCACGTCCATGGACTACTGTCAAACATGGCCCTGTGTCTTTCCTCTCTATCTGTTTGCCTATCCCCCAGCACCGCCACCGCCACTCTACCTGTGTGTTTGGCAGTCACACAGTCGACCATGTGTGTGCTGAAGATGTTACATAATGCCCTCCTTTTGCTGCACTCCAGATCAAAGGGAACAATCCAGCATCGAAAAATTGCTCCTTGCTGATTTTTCTTCTCTTCCACCATCACATCAGACTTCAGTACCAAGACGCTGTGCAATAGAACTGTCTTA